GATTATATATGTCAAGGAAAACTAGGTTTAGTATCATTTATTCTGTTTTTATTAATATACTTGATTATTATAAAAAAAAATATCATTTATTATATGCTATAATTAATTATTTGGATCGTAAATATTAGTGTAATAATTCAACTCAATTTGATGATTTTTAACCTTATAGTTTCTCCATTGCAAAGAGTTTGTCCAGTACCTTTTTCATTTTAGGATATCTCAAAACTATTGTTCATTGTCAAAAAAAAAAAAAAAACTATCATTTACTTGGTTTTTTACTATGGCCCTAGCTAATTATAATTCATTTCGACTTTTTTATATATATATTTAAATAGGGGGTAATCGTGAAAATTAATTTAAAAACAGATAACGTGGCCTGCAATTTATTATAATTTTTTTAATATATGTGAAAAGTTATATGAGACTAACACTTTGAGACGCACGCATGAAGGGCTGTATAGCTATAATCGTGCCAAGAAATGTGAAGGAAAAACCTTCAAAAGCAAAAGCTTATATAATAGTTTGAAATATTTGGGACTCTAAACCGTCTCCGATTAATTTGGAATTTATTTTAAGTACTTTTTAGAAATGCTTTTTTTTTAATTGATTTTTTTAGTGTTTTTTATAATTTTAATATGTTAATGTTAGAAATAAAAAAAATATAATTTTAATGTATTTAGACATAAAAAATAATTTACACCACAATAATAAGCAAACAATAAAAATAATATTTAAAAAACCCTTAAAAAAGGTTGGATTTAGAATATAAAACTGGCCTAAAATACCGTTGACAATAAAACAAAAAAAAATAGAAAAAATTAAAGAAAGACAAGGAAAATGGTAGGTTGATTGTCGAGGTGTGCTAACGAAATTTCGAGGCCCGCAAGATCATTTCAGTTCCTCCATCTGTCCTTTAACGTCCCTTTATTTTATTCAACTCAATCATTTGAAACCACTTTACTTTATTCTTTCCTTCCTCCTTTAATTTATTCATAGTGCACGAAGCTCTTAGACACGCATGTTAATCACGCTATGCAGCAGGAAACCCTTTATTATTATTATTATTATTATTATTATCTATACGAGAATATATATATCCTCACAAGTCGCTATTGATTAATCGATTGATGAGCGTACAGTAGTAGGATTCTCTAATATATATATTTTTTTACAAAGGATTTCCGAAAGCAATTAATTAAAATTGCAAGAATTCAGGTGTATGAATGAGTTCCAAGTGATCACAACCGACCCATAATTCGTCATAGCAGAGTGATCATATATAAAATGAGAGATATATTGCTGATCTTAGTTTACTATACTCAAATAATGATCAAATTATAGGGAATAACAGCGAAACATGTGTAGTTTTGACACTGATTGTGTTTCTCAACATCAAATAACTTTCTTTCTTTTTCAGCTTTACTACATTCCAATACTCAGATCCCCATGCAGCTAGCGTCAACCATAATATATATACAACAATTTATAAGATGCTAAAGAGGAAAAGGTTACTACTTTAAGATTATAAAGAGGATAACATACATACATTTGGAGAAGAACTTTGAGTGCTCAGGAGGAAATGGGGATACCAAGTGCCAACATGGTTATAAAAATTAAAGACTAATAAGTTAAAAACTATCGATCAATAAACAAACCAGTTCCTAGCTAATCTTTTTTTAAAATTTTAATTGAGGTTTTTAATTAATTTTTTTGGATCAGCTTTTTCATCTGTTTATAGTAGCCACAAAAACCTCAAATAATGCATGATTTAGCTCTTTGCAAAACTGAATAAATATTATGGTGGATATTCTAGATTGATCGATCAAGATGGTGGCGATAGTCTTGTTCATCTATAAAACTATTCTTCCTAATTCGTTGAGATTTCCTCCAATAATTAAGCAGGTATATATATGCATGGAAGAATATGAAGGATCAGGGGAGAGAGATATCTCTTAAACCCTATTACGTGGCACTTCAATGGTATCTCAGAATGGCAGGGATATAAACATGTTAATTTGTTTAAAAAAATATTTGCAGAGATATAAAATAAGTATTTTTTTTAAATAGTAAAAAAATAGTTTTAAAGTATACTTTTATCCTTCTCAAAACAAAAAAGATAGGGACATATCCTTATTGTCCTTTTTTTTTTATCTTAAGACATTAATTAAAATAATATTTGGTAACCGTCACAAAACAGAAAAAACGAAGACATTGAAGGCAAAAGAGACAGGATAAAAAACAATGCAAAGATAAAATTTTATTTGGTAGTAACATCTAAGATAAAATAATTGTTTTGATATCATATTTCATTATGGTAGAAAAATCATAAAAAAATTTATTTTATCCTTAATTAATAAGTTTTGTTGTCAAATTTATATATTTTAAAAAAATCATTATATATATATTTTTTATTTTAGTTTATATTTAGTATTAAAATTAATAATATTATAGCAGCCTTGATTATAAAATCAGGTACGACTAGATGAGTTGACCTGAGACTTAGATTAATTCAATTTTAAAAACAAATAGAAAAACATTACATGACTTGAGTCAAAAAATCATCTCAACCCAAAAATTTAAATTGTTAGAAACTTTAATGGATCTACTTTGCCTTGTGCTTAATTTTTATCAAATAAATAGGGATGGTGAGATTCGAACTCATGATCGATTGGTTATCAAAACTCTGATACCATATTAAAAAATCATCTCAACCTAAAAGTTCAAACTATTAGGTGAGATTCCAAGATATAATTTATATTATTTTTTAACAGACCTAATTAAAATTTAGATCAATTCAAGATAAAACATGTCCAAAACCCTATTGATTTTTAAAAAAAAATAATTATTTATTTTTAAAATCAGATTATTAAAAAATTTATAAAACACAAAAAAAAATTAATTTTTTTAATCCTTTTAAAACATAAAAACAATTTGTCTCACTATGTTAGAGTATCTTTGGACATCCAATCCTAAACGAAAAAGTAAAAAAGCTAGGGTGGACAGTGGACAGGTGTGATGTTTGGATGAGACTGTTTGCAAATATGGGCTGTAAAGTTAGGCTATCGGGCCTTCTGTAACGAGGTAAACAATGGCCGAAGTGAGGAGGAGATAATATTTTTGTTTTCTGGACAACCAATTTTAATGGGGCTGTGCAAATAAGCAATGAAATATATAGACTATGGGCAAATAAAATAAGCAATGTTGTTTTTTTTTCAGATTTTCTCTTTTATAATTTTATTTAATTAAGATATTTTAGTAAATAAAATGTTTTTTTTAGCAGTTTTGGCCATCTAGATCTCTGTTGATTGGAGACAAAATAGAGTCTTCTAGAGTTGTATTTTGCGGGGAAAAACCATGCTTGCATGCTCCATAATCTCTCCCTTTTATGATCATTTTGCAGGTTCTAAATGAGAACCTGAATCCAATTTGGATCATCAAACATTTGAATTTAACCGTAACCTCACTAATTTTGATGTAATTTAATTATTTTTTATTCTAATACTTTATATCTTTGTTGTTTTGTTTTTATTGATTTTTTATAATCAAAATAAAATAACCATTTAGTATTATATATTTTAGGAGTGACTTAAGTAGATTATTTTATATTGTTTAAGATTTTATAGGGTGTGTAAATAAAAAAGTGGTGATAAAAAAGGGAATTGACCTATATTTTAGGATTCATTAAAAAAATAGCCCATTTTAAAAAAAAAGTTACTTTTAAAATATATTATCATTATTGAACTTTTTCTTAATTAAAGATGTGATCAAATTAGCTTATTAATATTTAATGTCAGTAATATACTATGATCTTAGTGGTAATGTAGTATGTTCTTAGTGTTGTATTAAGAGTATAATATCTGATCAAAAATCTCAAAAAAATTTATATATATAGGTTATTATTAATATTAGTATTAGTATTTATTAGTACTAAGCTGAGTAAATCAAATCATGATAGCATCTATTATTTTTTTTCCACAAAAAAATATTAACCTTTTACTTTAGTATTAGTATATAAATATGGTGTTTTTTTTATAATTTATCAATTTATATATTTTAATTTATTTTATCAGCACAAATATTGTCTTTAATTTTTCGGTTAAAAACTTTCATCATATTGCACTTTCTTTTTTATACTAGATATTAACATGAAATTATACTCATTTTTCGGTTTCATTGGCTACCTATTAAGCCAAATCTTAAAGTATGAGGTTGATTTAAGGATGTTTGCAAGAATAATAATTATTTTTTTTTTGTTTCAAAAATATTTTTAAAAAAATTTAAATTTTTTTATTTTTTCTTTACTTCAAATTAATATTTTTTTTAGTGTTTTTAGATTATTTTAATGCACTGATATCAAAATTAATTTTAAAAAATAAAAAAATATTATTTTAATATATTTTCAAATTAAAAATACTTTAAAAAACAATTAAACCCAACCTTCCAAATAAATTTTAAAAATTTTAAAGGCCAGTCACATCCACCAACAATCACAGGCAATCTCAAGTCCCCTCAGTGTTCTCTAATGTCTCTAATGAAGTTATGAATATTTTACACTGATCGATCACCTTCCCCGCTAATTATTTCCTCTCATTAATGGGGGATGGGGGCATGTTGCCACAATACTTCATGGATGACAAATACTGTCTTGTCTATTTTGAGCTGGCCCAAGTTACCTATTAGTCTTAAAGTCAGTTTCAAATGAAATTGTTTTGATATCCTCTTCTATTAGGCAAATCTCTGAAGACGGCAACTTGATGTCTATGAACTCTTTAAGCTTTTCCAAAAAAAATTCAAATGCAGTGGCTTCAAAATTCAAAAGATGATCTGATTTTGTACAAGAAAATTGCATACATAACATCGACACCTTCTTGCTTTATAATAAAAATTTACTTGAAATCATAACCACGGTGTTACACGGGTTCACTACGCTAGTTATTATTGTAGAGGACTATACCTAGTTGACTCGTTATGTTATTAAGAAAAAAAGCACCAGGGTCTCACTAAAACCTCTGCCTCTTTCCTGCTGGGATTTGATGGATAGCACCAGAATTTAACAGGCATCCATTGTCTAGACCTGAACCAGAAGCACCACTAGAGAAATTTAACATAGAAGAGCATGTTGTAGAAGATCCACGACGCAACTCAATAGAAGATGGTGAAGCCAACGGTTTTTGAGCAAGAAAGCTTGCATTTGCAGCTGCATTCTGATTACTGGTGGAAACAGGTAGAATCTTGAACGGTTGCAATGGAGGAGGATTTCTCCACCGTGGAAGCGGGCCTGCAAGAAGTAGTGTTTGAAGAAGAGGGCCTGTTTCCATTACAGCCTGCAACAGGTTTCCTTCTTGAGGCAGCACTTTTCCTTTCACAAAGTTTTCGATTACAGAATCGGCCTGATTGACCCTGGGCACTGCTGGAACCTCTAAACCTGCTGATATGGAGCCTTTATTATACTCTTTAACAAAGGTATTACTCACAAACCCCATGTGACTTGATTCTTCCATGTTAGTGCTACAGAAATCTGGTGAAGCAATTGCATCGAAGAAGGAATCCACTGGAGAGGAGCCATGTGATTGGTGATTATGTGTATCAGATAGACTGTTAGATTCAGTAATGCTCGAGTTCCCTTTAGCTGGAATTACAAGAGGGTTCCCTGATTGTGCTTGAGGGAGAAAGGGAAGTAATTCAGTCGTATTAGAAAGGATAAGCTTGTTAAGTAGATTTTGCAGTTGCCCTTTCGCCTCATCTCTTTCTTGAGAAGCAACCTTTAGCATGTTGATTAATCGCCCCACATCCTCCTTGTGCTTTCTCAGTTCTTCATTTGCTTCAACTTTCAGTGACTCTAATTCAATGGTGGTGTACACAAGCTTCTGCTTCAATTCATCAATGCTCTGTCAATATTCAGTACAGGTTAATATGGTTTGAGAAAGGATAAAATATGGCAACTTCAAAATAAAGACATGGGTACGTAGAGAGTATTAATGCATGAAGTAGTGTCCGTAATTGTTAAACTCGGTCCGATATTTAGAAAATCCAAGACTTAAATTATAATTTAAATTAGATTTTTAATTATACTGAGTAAGATATTGATCTATGGAATTGAATTGTCACCATAATTTGATTAATTTAGCAAAACCAAACCGGGTAAATACCAAAAAAAAATATTCAAAAATTATTTTAATAAAAATAATTAATCTCGATAAACCTATGAACTCAAACTCTTTTTCAAATGAGTTCTTTGGATCGAGTGGCATAATTCATAAGTAAAAGATATAGGGAAAAGAACGAAATTGAAGCCTCGGTCTCTAGGAGACACAGAAAGAAACATCAATACCTCGGCCTCAATGGAACATGGAGAGTGATACGAAAATCCCAATATTGAAAATTTAAAATAGTCCCTGATATTGTAAAGTATTTGACACTTGCCCCATTTAATATCTTTGCTAAATGAGTGTGATAATCACTAAATATGGAAAATTTTAAATTTGCACCTAAATTGCAAATCATTTAACTCCCTTCCCATTTTTATTGGCTTATAAAATTGCTAAAACAAATGGAAATTAAAATCTCAACTAATTGAATGAGATAGGGGGGAGAATAAGAAAAATAGAAGCCACGTTGTAGAATCATAATTATAATGTTTTTTATTATTATTATTTATATTAATTTTTTTGGATTTTTTTAGTCAATTTTCTTTGTGAAGTAGTAAATATATATATTCTTTAACTACGTGCTCTTGCAACAAAATCATTTTAAAGTTAAATATTGACCTATTTTAGAGTTTGAAGATACATTTTTTGCCCCTATCTACTCTTTTTTAATATGAATACTTCACCACTATGTGAAATAATTCCAAGTTTCTAACGAGTTACATCTGCCCTAACGGGATTCTTCATCCTTCAGCAAGCAAGGAAAAAAAAGGAAAAAAACTACAAAAAAACGAGGTCCACTTTTCTCTGACCAAACCAAAAAATTAAAACCAGCATATGGGAGTCAAGGGGAAAACAAAAGAAGATCTAGAGACAATGCCCTCAAACTCATATCATGAAATGCAATGAAATGCTCTCTCATTCGAGCCAATCACTAAGTAAATGCTTTACGTGCAAAGATTACAACATCCAAGATACAAAAGGTTGCCATGCAAGAACTCAACATGAATCTAAAACGAAAACAAAGCACTAATCAGCAAGGCATGCTCATGGAAAAAAAGTCACAAACTTCATGCTCAGCAAAACATACAGTTGAAGAAGAAAACAAAAGGGCTTAAATGGCAGACCAAACAAGTGCAAGAAGAGGAAATAGGGAGTAGAAAGAGCCCACCTCTTCATAATCCCACATGGAACCCAACTCCATCTTCCCTGTCTCTAGTCTCTACAGTACTGATAGAAAAAGGCAAACCTCGAAAGAAAAAAAGGCTATTGTCAAACGTATACTTATTAGGACTTTTACTTTAAGAGAGAGGACACCAAAAGTTGCTCATTTATAGACTAATGAGGCACACAAGGTACGGTTTTGTGATCTTCAACAAGAAAAAAAAAAGTTAATTAATGACAAATAAAAAAGAAATACTTTCTATTTTCAACTCTCTGCATGAAATTCAATTTCTTTGAAACCCACGCATCCTTTAAGGACATTACTTAAAATAATAGAAAACTACTAATTGGATAATAATTTCTAAAAGATATATATAAATATAAGGAGAAAAGAGAATAAGAGATGGAAAAATAAATATATCTGTCAGCCTAGTAAAATGTTCCATTGGTTTCTCCTAAAATCATGATTATTATAGTTTCCTTTTATGTATTCATTACAATTTAAATTAAACGGATTTTACTTTAACCATATTATTCGGTTTTGTGGATTAGTATGTTAAGTTTCCCTAAATACTTCCTTTTTAATAAAAGCCAAATTTAACTATGGCGGCTTGTGTGGGTCAATGCAAAAGGGACAATAATTCTCTAAGTAAGAAATTTCTTCCCTTAAGTGGCATGGCATTGATTCGAAAGATTTCTGCCATGGATAATAATTTCAAAGAAGAAAAAATCTTATGATAATGTGCTGTGATCGGTTTGAAAGACACTTGTGCTAATATGTCAAATGGATGTCGGTTGAAAATGAATTGTTTTAGTATACAAGGAAGTTTTTGGATGTTTAAAGATCAATGATCTTGTATATTGAACTATGAAAACAGAAAAAATCCATGTTATACTCTTTGTTAACATAGGAAAGTCATGGTGTACATATGATGGTGAATTTCTCACATTTTATTCCGTTTTTAAGCTTGCTGCGGCCATTGTCTAACATAATAACACTTGATTATGATCTGGGTGATTATTAATTCATCTTACTTTGATTACTTGTTCAAATATTTTTTAAATAAATTTCTCAGATCATAGCAAATGACAGTCTTGCAATACGTGGTTTCAGGCCGGGAAAAAACTTTTGACGAGCTATGTTTTTTCAAAAAGCTACTGGAATCTGCAGGATTTTCTTCTGGTCGATTGGCATTGGTATCTGCTTTTGATGAAGAATTGCAATTTAGAAGCAGTGGCGTGAGTTTTGACAGTAATATAGTCTGATTTTGTTTTTAATCTTGTTTTATTACTTGTACTCTGTTTTGCCTATCAAAAAGATACGAGGAAGTGACCAAGGAAATGCATGTGTCTTACTCTACAAGTATCATGATCATTGACAACTCTTTTAATTTAAATCATATTCATGCTGATTTATTATTACAATAGAAATTAAGGAATCAAAATGAAAATATTATTAAAAAAAAAAGATAGTTGCGAATTACCGTTGTTGACTGGTAGATCTCGTTTTTGGTGGAGAGACCACCTAAACTCCATCATGCAAACTAATTAACATCTTTCCCAGCTTCGATTCACCTAAACTCCATCATGCAAACTAATTAACATCTTTCCCGAGCTTCGAATCGAAGCAGCCATGGAAGAATCAAAGAGCGGTCAAGATAAGCATTCTTTGTTAGAGTTCCTGAAAGCTCTCAAGAAAGCTTCGAAAGGTCTACAAATCAACCCCATCTTTATAACAAACGATCCCCAACCCAACATGGAATCGATTTTAAACCTTGAGAGTGAAGTAGACACCATATTATCTACTGATCCAGATTTTTTCAAGCTTTCTCAATTACTATGCAACCTTAAAACCCTTCTTGGAAAGCTCGAAAGGTATCGAGAATACAGCCTTAAATCCTTCTTCTTCCGCCAGATCACAAGGTGCGAAATTTACCAAGTTGCATTCACTATGGAAATTGAAATTCAGGCATGTATTGATAAAGAATACGTACAAAATCTTGTCAAGACGCTTCAAGAAGTGGTGGGCATTGAGGAAGAGAAAGTTAGGGTGTTGAAGAGGTTCGAAAGGCGTTTATCACAAGGTTTTGATAGAGATTATCAAGAACTGGTTCTCAGAGGAAAAGTATTTCCCATTCTTGAATTGTTACTTTGTGACTCAACTTGCTCAATGACAGTTAGAGAACATGTAGCTCTTGCCATAGTTGCTTTGGTTAGATTCAACAGAGATGTGTTTGTGGGAATGGTTTTGATGAGTGGAATTGTCCAGGCCTTACTACCAATGGCTTCTTGTTGTTCAATGCAGGTTCTTTGTTCACTTGTCACATTGATTAGAACTCCACTGATTGATGAAATGGAATTGCATGGAGAAATCCTAAGAATTCTCAGTCTATTTCGCAGCTCTGAAGATCTGTCAATCGAAGTGGGAACAATGGATTGTATCTGTCAGATTGCTTATTTTGGTAGGATAGAAGTGATTGAATCAATGCTAGAAAAAGGGTTGATAGAGATGTTGGTGGAGTTGCAAAGATCAAAACATGGAGACTACTTGACTGAGACACATCAAAGCAAGGAGACTGAAGAAGGTGTGGGACTGGGCTTGGAAATAGATAAAATCGAGGGCGATTGGCCATTCGCAAGCTGTGTTGCAAGATTTTCTGTGCAAGTTGAAGTGGGAGAAGGGTTGAGTCCAGTAGAGAAAAAGGAGATAAAAGGGGAAATACTGAGGAGAATCAGGGAGGCCTCTGCCTCTGAGGCAGAGGCTGCCACTATTGTTGCAGAGGTATTATGGGGTTCTTCACCTTGAAACTAGATTTGGAATAGAAATACTGATCTTATTTTATTTTATTTATTTATTTTTAAAGCAATTTCATAGCCCAACACATGCCATTAACTAGGGTTTCTAGATCTTCAGTTCAGGATTGGCACTAACAGTTTAGTGATGGTAGAAGTAGGTACCCTGTTTTCTTTCAGATTTATTGAGCTTGAAAAACACGTTGGCTTGTTGGGATTATTCTGTGGAACTTGTGTTCATCATAGACACTTCTTAGTTCTCCTAAATGTAGTAACTTTCTTTTTTCTTTTTAAATGAGGTGAATTACTAAGCTATGCGACTCTCTAAATCAATTATTTTTAATTAAAATAACATCATTTCATTTTTCTTTAAAAAAAATATATATTATTTGTCGGTTCATTAAAAATCTAGCTTAGCTAGAAACTTACCTCGAGTTTTGAATTCTAAATTCCCCAAATGAATCTACCAACCTAGGGAGTATAGCAACTATTATCTATATATTTGCTTGAGTTTACATGTTTTAAATTAATTTTTTTATATTTTTAAATTATTTTAATATACTAATATTAAAAATAAATTTTCATTACTTCCATACTAAAAATACTAAATAAATACAAGAAGGTAGGCACAAAATACTAGTAATAAACAATATACAAACAAATAAGTAGCTAGAAAGAAGGGAGGCAAAATAATTACAAGCACATGCCTACTTTAATGTTCTTGAGTAGCTGCTACACACCATCAAGGTATAAGCTCTGTAGCCAACCTCCCATTATAACCAAAAAAAAAAAAAAATACTTATCACATGAATGATGCATTTGCATTTATAAATTGGTGATCTATACATCGCACTCACCTCGTCTCTCCATAGTTTAAGCCGATACCTACTCGACCAATTTGCAGTCTCAAAAAACTGATTTTATTAATTAAAATATCATTTTCCCTGTAGCATGCCTTATCTTTTTGTACTCGGCAAGTTCCTTTCCTTAACGTCTAGTGAATAATACCTGCCGTCTATGTAATTTATTCGTTCCCAGAGGTTATGATGATTTTGTGCTATATCACTCATAAAAAATGCATTTCGCTTGAAAATATATTAAATTTATATATTTTTTTAGTATTTTTAAAATTATTTTAATGTGCTAATATCAAAATAAAAATAAAATAAAATATATTATAATGTATTTTTAAGTTAAAGCATTTTTAAAAAAAAATTCTATCATAATATCAAACATATTTAAATTGCAATATTTATTTTTATGGTGGCATCATGCTTAAAAAAATTAAATTAAATTATTAATTTTTTTAAAATTATTTTAGTGTGCTAACATCAATAATAAATTTAAAAAATAGCTATTACCGCAATAAACAAGCTTTAAAAATTATAATAGTTGTTTTTGTGGTGACACCAAGCTTTAAAAATTTAAAAAAAAATTGGTTTTAATTTTTTTGTATTTTTAAATTTGTTGGTGTGCTAATATCAACAATAAATTAAAAAAAATATTATTTTGATATATTTTTAAGTAAATATTATTTTGATATATTTTTAAATAAATAATAATTTTATTCGGTTATGAAAAATAAATTAAAAAAATAAATAATTAGATCATCATCATATTGTCTAAATAATACATAAAAAGAAGCAAGAGTAGTTAAATAAAGACAAAAGAGCATCTTTTGAATGATTAGAACTAAGGTATAGTTTTTGTAAGAAATCCCATGATATAATTCAAACTCCTGTACATTATAAAAACTCAATTAGATGTATACATTTTATCATATAGTAAGAATTAAAAAAATAATAATTAAACGCATCCCGTTGGAAACTAAAATGATTTAATAATCTAAACTTATATTCTTAGTTTGCTGTTAATAATCTAAACTTAGCCATGTGCTAATCTTCCATACCCACCAGTCTCGAACCTCCTTTAGTTACACGTCAACTTTCTAACAGATTCTTAACTTGCCGTTATAGACGGCTTATAAAAAATCGGTAAGCTACGCCAGAATTAAACGAATCGTTAATGGGTTGATCCGGAAATATCCCAAGTTAAATGAGGGTTCTCATTGGACCATTTTCACAACATGAAATATTTTTACAGAAAATGTTCGCTCTAGTCCCTAAAATTTTAAAATTTTATTTTATTCATGGTAGCAAGTTTGTTTGTCCTCATACTTTTTTACATGCAATTTATTCTCTAATTAAAAAATATCAATTACATCCTTGAATGTTAAATTGTAAAAATAATTGAAATTAATCCAATTTAAATGACTAAATTAGTAGGGTAATCCAATGAAAAAAATAATGGATCACAAATGAATGATAATAAAGTATGACCCCTATCTATTTTAACTCGACCCATCACCCGTCCGCTTGCCACCTTCACCTCTAATTACAAATCGTTTCTTTTTAAATTATTTTTCTCTTAAACTTTAGGTCATGTCACAAAAGTAAATTATCAAAAATCTATTACTATTAATACGAGCTACTGGTTTGGTGATTTGATGTACAATATTTTTTTAATAGAAAATACATAAAAATTATTTTTTATGACATCATCACATTAAAATTATAAAAAAACTTAAAATCATTATTTTTTTAAAAAAAAACATCTACTCAATCTAAGAGAAATGATATTAAAATATGCATTAATTTGGAAACAACTAATACTGGTATCTTTAAAACAAGTTGATAAAATACCAAACATTGATGGAATGGATTAACTTGAAAGATGCCTTTACTCCAAGGAATCAATGTATGCTTTGAAAACAAAATAGAGATACAACAATTGCTATTTGTTTTGGCACCATTTGAAAACGGTGCAACTCAATTTTTAAAAATTTATTTTTTATTAAAAATTAATCTTGTACATGTTTTAAGTTGTTTTGATTCGCTAATTTAAAAAATAATTTTAAAAAAATTAAAAAAATATTATTTTAAAGTATTTTAATATAAAAAATACTTTAAAAAATAATTATAACTACACTCTCAAACAAACTCTTTATCTAGCCTAAAAAGTAAATAGAAAATCATTAAGAGCTTGTCTGATATATAACAACTTGATAGGAGGAATTTATATAGTCCAAAAAAATTTAACTATACGATGAGAATAATTTAATTAATCAAGTTTTAGATTTAATTTTTAATGATTACAAGTTTGAATTTCCTTGAAGTCATAAGAGACTTACATGATCATTAATTTTTAAATTTATAGAATTAGTCAAGATATACACAAATTGGCTAAATACTCACATTAATAAAAAAAAGATTAACTAGATTAAAATAATATTATTTATATTAATTTTTTATTTAATTAAAAATTAGACTAAATTTTAAACGGATTAGATTTAAATCAATTAAGTCAAGCTGGTTTTTAATCAAGCTAATCATTTTTTTTTCAATTAGGATCAATTCAGGCTTTGAATTGAATCACTGAAAATTGAATCAGTGAAAAATGTGATGGTCTCACCTTAACTCCCCTCATGGATAAGAATTGAAATGTGATTTTTCTTCAAACCTTAACTCCCCTCATGAATAAAAATTGAAATGTGATTTTTCTTCAAAAAAAAATTTAATTTAATGACCAAATTCTATAAATAAATAAAAAACATTTAATGACTAACAACTATTTTTGTGCCTCCTTTTTGGGACCAGGATTACAGTAAACTTAGTTAGCTTTTATTACCGTGATTTATTTAAGAATATATATTATTTATCATTTAAAATTTTATTTTAATAATAATATATTAAAATGATTTAAAAATAAAAAAAATTAAGTGAAAACAAAAATTACTTTTTTGCCTTTGAACATTTAGATAAAGAAAGAGAGCTCCACGTAGGAAAAGAGAAAGAAACAAGTACAGTAATAATG